GGCCATAGCTACATTAATAAAATAGAGAAAAGTGTGCCGGAATGGGGAAGAGCGATAGACTGTTTTTTATCATTGCCTCTTAGGGCCAGTTGTACAGTCTGTGATTAAAGTTAATCACAGTTTAACCGGCCGAATTTGGCCGGTTAAATATCTGTTATCAGCTGATTAAGCATAATCGGAGTTTAATCACAGACTGTACAACTGGCCCTTATTCTGGCAGAAGTCTTATCATAAATTATATACAATAATTATACATATATCTATTTGTGTTAAGACCTCTATAACCTCAAAATATTTTCATGTTCGTTCCCGTATGATAAGCACAAAATATGGCCTAATCATTCTTTAATATCTATGTTCGATTGATACATTTTCGACAAAAATATTTTTCGGATAAAATACGGTTCTGATGAAATATTTTTCGGATAAAATATTTTTCTATTAAAATACGGTTCGAATAAAATATTTTTCTTTGTAAATATTTTCTTATAGTATATTTTTCGGATAAAATACGTTTCGTAAAAAATATTTTCTGTCTTTTTATTTTCGACGACAATATTTTTTGGCTAAAATACGGTTCGGACTTTTTATTTTTCGTATCAAATATGGTTCTGAACAAATACTCTTCTCAAAATATATTTTTCGGATAAAATATTTTTCGGCTAAAATACTGTTCTGACGTTTTATTTTCGGATATTATACGCTTGCCCATTTTCTTCTTCCATCTATTCTTGAATTTCTTTTTAAAAAAATGAATCAAAGACATGGTTATGGAAAAAAGAATATGAAAAAAAATTTTGAGTAACCTGGGACGTGGGGTATACGTCATGGCACATGGAGCAAAATAAACTATTGTATATAAATAATATTTTAATATTTACCATCTGGTCAAACTTTTTTTATTATGATTCTGTTATCATAGACAAACGCGATAAAAACATTTTTTCGGCATTTGATGAAATTTTGGCGGCAATGCGAGATAGTGAGATGAAGTATTAATTTTGTTGGTTTGATGTAGGTAGGTAATTTATTATTTTGAGCATTATAGGAGTAAGTAATGATACATATTAGTTAACAACAAGCCATGCGTTTCTTTCATTTATTTTCATTTTGTATAAATAAGTGGCTATGCGCCTCTGCGTCAATATCGATAAAATATTGATATTATAACAACTGAATATTCTACAATACTGTTTACTCGGGAAATCATATTGGGGTAAAATGGCGCAGTAATTAATTTCTTACCTATAGGCTATACTGCTATAGCTAAATAATATTTACTAGGTAGTTGATTTATTTTTAAGTTGATATTTTTCTGTTTCTTAAATTAGTTATATTTAAAAAGTGTACATTGATTTATTTTAATTGTTTTACAATCAAGTTTTTTTACTTAAAAATGAATTTTTAATTTTTATTGGTGATATTTTTCTGTTCCTTATTTGAAAAGTTGATATTGTTTTACTTTTATTCATTTTACAGTTATTTTATTTAGAAATATATAATTAAAGCATAACTGATTTTAAAATTATATTCTTCAATGTTCTTTTAATAAAATATATTTTTAAGAATTAATTTAGTTTGCGTCTTTTTATCCCGTACCTAATTGGAATCCCTGGCCATTTGTCAACACTTTTATTTATTTAGAATTTTAGATATTTGCTTTGGTAAAATCAACTTTTTACTGGAAAATTAAAAACTACGTTATTATAATATATAGGTAGGTATACCTAATAGGAAAACAACAAAACAATATTTCTAAAATGTATGTGCATTACATATTATGTACATTACAGCTGTTAAATGTTAGATGCACCATAATAATACCCCAGGTTACTCAACACTTTTCCGATGGTGATGTCTTATGTTTTTATAAATTATAACTCCTTGATCCATTAGCTGTGGTTTGGATATCATGATTAATGTATTGAAATGGCGAAAATACCATTAATATTGCCCTCAGTTCAAGCAAAAGTCTAATCATTTAAAAAATGTTTGTACTTTTATTTTGAGGGTGTTTACTTGTAACAAATTGAATATAAAGTTGGAGATTTCCAGATCATCAGATTTGATGGTCAAAAGAAAAAAAACTTGTTAGTAGGTACATTGAAAAATAATCGGCAAAAGATTGCTTAAGCATTAGTTACTGCCATAGTAGATATTACCTGCATAATATTGTAAAGGTATGGTTCAGCATTAAGTTTTTTTCAGCCCAAAACAAATATAATTTACCATGCCCTTAAGTCAAAAGTTAATTTTTGGGGTAAAAGGGTTTTTGCTACCGCGTTGGGCTAGCCCTGGTAAAGACTTAAGCATATTTTAAATTATTTTAGTGCCATCGCAAGATTAGCATATTTTATGGTAAGTAGCAATTGTGTAGGTACTCAGGAAAGGAAATATTTTCGAACCAATAGTCTTTTTTATGGCCTCGAAAAAGGGTAAAATACGATTGAGAACGGAATTTTTAGTAAGTACTAAGTAGGTTATACGATTGAGAACGCTTAATATTAAAACCTACATATTTTTCTGACGTCGCCAAACTCAATAATTTTCATGGGAAAATATTGAGCACGATATTAATAACCAACCAATCTAATTTAATCAAGTAAAATCAATTTCGAGATGCATAAAAAAGGTTTATTGATCGAGAAAAATGGCTTACGTCGTGAAATGGTCAACAATTTTTAAGTCGTGAAAAAGTCGAAAATGCATTTTTAGGGTTTATGAGAACAAAATAAGAACAAGGTAGGTCCACTTCTTCTAATTTTGTTGGGGGGGGAGGGGGATGGAGGGTTAACCCCTCACAATCCCACATTCCCACCTATATGGTTATATGATGGAAAGAAGTGTGGTGTTTGAAAATTATTGTTACAGAGCTGTACTTCAGTATTTTCACATGTCTGTTCTTAGCTACTCGTCAGTTAAGAGTTATAACAGCTAGTCTATGGTACCTACGTGATATTATTATAATTTATAAATATTGACACATGAATTGAATTGCTTGAATACAAATTAATACGTAGGTACATAATTAGTATTTACTTACCCCCTAAAGCTGGATTAAACTTTAAATTGTTTAAGCTGGTTTGATATTAAATAGAAAAATGACAATAATAATTAATATCTTATATTGCCATTGACACACCGCCACTGCACCTAAGCGAATACAGAAGTGGTTCTCAACTTTTTTTTGCTACCCCCCTCCATGAGGTATTAAAAAAAAATTCAGGGATACCTTACAGACTACAACTGTATGCATAATGCTAATATAGGTACCTACCTACTATACCCGTGTACCACAGTCGACAGTCATTATACATGAAGACAGCCAGAGAAGCCTCCAGTTAAGAACCACTCAGATTTAATTTTTTTCCTGCAATTTGTCAACATGTATTGTGACTTTTACTCTCTTAAGTTAAAACCATTAAATAGGTAATAAGGTATACCTTAAAAAGTAAAAATACACAATTATGGTATTACCTAAGTAAGTGATTTATTAGCTATCTCTTAATATACGGTCTACCGTAGTTTTATGTACTGCCTAATTATAAATATTGGTAAAGTCTACTTTTGGTCTTCTAATGTTTTGTGTTCCGATGTAGATAAACAAAGAATTGAATGTCTCTGGAGGCCTCTCAGATTGAAATTATTAAGAAAATGTGTGCTGCGAATGAAGACTTATTCTATAGGTCCTAAGCCGAGCATTGGTGGCGAGGCTTGAATAAAAGTGGTAATATTTTTGATTCGTTCTTAAGATATATGAAATTATATTTTGTGGATAATCCATGAAAGCTTTTATTTACTCCTAAAATTCATAGATATTTGTTTTATAATTTATTTATTTTTTATTATTAAAATGAAATAAATTGTATTCTAATCCTGAAATTCACTTAAGTATTTAAATATCTATTATTTTTATAATGTGTAGGCAGGCTGCATACTATACTGTAATTTGTACTATAATAGACTATGCTCTTTGGTAGACCACATACTTGGGGAGATGGCCGATTTATTGTAATTGTAAGACAACCTGCTTGAATATAACAAATATACAATTCTGATACATATTAGTTAATAAAAACAAAGATAAATTCCTAATATAATAATTTATTTTAAAACACATTTCTTCAAATCTTCATTATTCATTTATTACACTTCAATATTCACATTTCAATAAACTAGTGTTCATAAAAGTAAACAAAATATAAAAAAAATAATAAGTTTTTGGGCTGACTACAACTTTTTTGTTCTGACCATTTAGGCCTTAGGGTAAAGGCGGGTTTCCACTACTTGCGTGTGCCATATACACAAAAAATGTTCAGCTATGCCCAACAACACGGTAACATGAATAATTGTGTGATAACCTAACCTAAACAACCCATCACAGCTAAGGATTTGTATGCACGTATGCGCTCACTTGTATAGTGGAAACCCGCCTTAACGCTTAAAAAATGTATTACTGTTACCATAGAAACCTTCCCACTCAAACTATATATATGATTCATAGATTTTCCTTGCATATGACAAATATCAAATAGCATGCTAGGTTTTATATTTTAAAATAAGTTTTCTTATTATAAAATAAATGTTCTCACAAAGTATTAACAGTTCTCAAATATATTTTTAATAGAAATTCTGTTTCAAGGAGGATTAAATAAAATAAATAAATATTGAAGAGATAATTTTGAAATGTAAAGTCTTGTTACAATTATAATCTAGATAATTCTTTTTCATTTTCAGTTTTTAAAATTACTTAAAAATATTATGACAATTACCAAAATATTAACTTTTATTATAATTTTTCATATATATACATGGAGGTAAGCAAAAATATAATTTATTCTAAAGTAGTCATTATAATTTATGATTTCAAAAAAAATGTATTTCAATTTTAAATAATATAAACTAAATAGAAAATACAGCATAATTACCTATTGGCTATTAGTGTTTATTTTTTAATAATCTAAGAACATTATTATTACATTGGTAAATTAGTTTTAATTTAATATTGCCTATTGGTAAAATAAATTTAAAAATAACATATTATTGCTTACATATTTATCTTTCAATGACAAAAATATACAAAACTATTCATTTTAAACATTTCAATAATATGATGAGAACTTGGAATATCAATTAAAAACTGTATGTTATAATCTTTAGCATTATCTTCTAACAACTTAAAATATAATATATAATCTATATTGTTGAAATAATACTTCCTTCCATAATCATATTTGTTGACAAGATGATAATTTTTAATTTTCATAAAATTTAATCACTATTTTTCTTCTTCTGATGTTTCATCTGAAAATAAACTTCAAAGTAAGATCAACCACAACAATAATGTACATACATAGACGTGCACACGGGTGTGGCTTATAAGGGTATAGCCACAATTGAGGTTTGGTATTTTTTTCAGTAGGTACCAGGTAGTAGGTACTTGTAAGAAAAGCCAATAACTCACTTTTTTGGAAAATAGAAATTTTTTATCAATTTGATCATACAATTTGTCATAACTGGTTTTATAGTTTTATGCCAATGTTTTGTGTCTATCTTATTATACTTTTTTTAAGGGGAGTTTTGAAGGGTGGTCAGAAAAAATAAAAGAAACACCTGAAACAGAAGGCTGTGCACGCCTATGTGTTATACTAGATACCCATAAAATAATGATTAACTAGGAATACATTAAGTACAAATTTAAATAACCATTTATAAAATATTAATATTTATGAGTTTTTTGAACATTACCTTCAGTAAAATGTATACGATTCGTTTTTATTGGCATATTACTTTTATTACCAAAGTTAAAGCGTATTTTTGATTGTTTGATTAAAATATTTGTCTCGGGTTGTTCAGGTTGACTAAAATTAGTTGAAAACCCAAGTCCCATCTTTTTATCTCTGACATCCATTGAAATCTAAACAAAAATGTAGTGAATATATTTATGTTATGGCATATAATGCATACAAATTTCAATGTATATTAACTATTCAAATGTGTTACCATAAAGACAAACTACTAATATTAACTTCCAAAGCTTGCCCTAAAAAATAGATAAACAATGAAGATATTTATACTCTGTATTTAATCTTGTTTAAAATAAAATGCAACACAATATCAAAATTATAAAATTAATATAAAATAACTTTTGGTATTATTTATTCTATTTAGGAGCATAATATAGTATGATAATTTAAATTCATATTGAAACAAATAACTATACAAATGGTAGATAATTTATTATTATGAATTTAATATTTGTTCTTAATTTAAAAACATATTTAACAATTAGTCAAAATTCTGAGGTAGCAAAAAACAATTATCCACAAAAAAATTGCTATTTAGTTTGTTTTTTTCTAATATAGTATTTCCTGAGTAGTAAAAGTACTTCTTGATTCCCCCTAGTGACATGTATGTAACTAATTATTTAGGTATTATATATTGAGATAAATAATACTGTAAGAAGTTCATTACTTTTAAGTAATCTTTACATTCCGAATTCATAGTTTAATCAATCAAATAAATAAGCAGGTCATTAGGACATATACATTTATAATATTATTATAACAAAGAAGTTAACTGAGAAACTACAAATGGATTAAGGGTCTTATGAATAAATGTTTGCTTAAGGAGTGAACAAAAGCATTTTATATATAACTAATTACAAATGTACTGAAACTGAATATTTTATATGAGAAACATTTCTGTAAGTCTAGACCATAAACCACATTCAAGAAAGGTTTAACATCTTAAATTGTGTTTACAACTTCTGGATGTACAATATTCATTAGCATTGTCTTTAATATGTATTAATAATAGAATATTATGTAGGTATTAGAAGTATGCAAATTTATACTTTTCAATAAACTACTCTATAATAGGTAAGTACGTAACCATAAAATATTAAAATCAGTCATTGTTAACATGTAATAATAATAACAATGCCCGATTTTTCAGGAAAGTACTAATGCCTTGTAATTAAAAACAATAATCAGTCAAAGAAATCAAAGTTGAAGGAACTTAAAATATTATTGAGATTGGTTAGGCATTATTAAGATCAACTAATAGATCCAAGGAAATTTTAATTTAAAATCAATTAAATTTTTTATATGAGATTTGTTTTCCTTTTCCATTAGTCACTACCTGTCGTTATGAGGGAGATGCGTTCTGCCGAACGAATGCCAGTCGCCGCCTAGTATATTTTCTATCGGAAAGTATACATTATTTAGTTTCATATTTATCTTTGCATTCACAAGTGGCGTATCCAAGGGAGATGATTAGGGATCATGACACTCCCATTCAGTCGTATCATATAACATTATTAAGTGAATTAAACTTCAAAGAAATATAAATTTAAATTTATAAATTAATATTATCATTATCTTTGATTGTAGCAGATGTAATATATAAATAAATGTGATAATTAAAATCAAAATTACAATTTGCATGTATATAGAGTAATTCGACAAATATACAAATTTCCTTTTTTCTTTGATGATGCAGTTATTTAAAATCTGATTTTTGGAATTTTTAAGTATGCTTAAAGATTATATTTACAAATTATTGAGACTTTTTTGAGATTAAAGAGTGTCAAATGAGAACAATCTTTACCTTTTCAGCTGTAAATATTATTCAGTAGATAATTTTTCTGGAAATTTTTACATACTGGAATACGTACATTCAATTGGTAAAAGCATGGATTCATTTATGTTAAAATGTATAATATATGATTTGAAAAATCATTATTGACAATAACAAAGGTGTAGATAGTGAAAAAATAACCTAATTAATAAGTGCATTTGAGAGTTACAACATTGATTACAAATAAACATCAATGTTAAAAACTGAAATTATTTAACATGGACTAAAAGATGCTAAAAGAGTTATTTATTTATCAAGTGAAAATTTATCATCCATAAAATATCATCATTGTCAGTAACATACATGATATTTAAATTAATGATGTTTAAATATGTGTATACACAATAAATTTTATTTTATTTTATAATACTTACAGGTTCTTTAATTCCAGAATTACTAGATCCCAACGACTTTCCTGGTGTCCAACCCATATTTTCTAATAATTTGAAACCTTTGTTTTTTGTAGGAATTGGTCTTAAATAGATAAAATAAATATTATTATTGATGTTTTACAAATATAAAATATTTAATTATTAATTGAAGAATGAAGAATTTTGGCTGAGTTTATGATTGAAATTAAATTTAATAGTTGAAAATGAGTTGTGAAATATATATATATATATTATGTCAGCTTAATGAATATATTTATTTTTCATATTAGATTTTTCTCATCAATAATTTCACAATTTCACTTATTAGAACCAAACATGATAAAACTTTGAATTTTCTAGAAATATTTATAATAAAATAGCCTAAGTAGAATTTATTCAATTAATTTTTTAATTAACTTTGAAAATTATAAAAACTCACTGTGTTACACAAGCTACTTCAGTTTTCTCATTTGCATTTTGAGATCCAACAGTTTTTCTTCTTTTATCAGCTCTATCTTTATATCCTTTTGGCAATACAGCGTCAGGTGGTTCACAGCCAAGTAATCCATATTTTTCTTTTAAACTTTTTAGTTCGTCATCAAATTTACGTTTTGGAGGTACAACATTTTTAACACCTTAAAACAATATTCAAATTGTTTTTAACATTCACTTTTATGGTACTTATTTATTTAATTTTAATTTAAAAAATGTTAAATAGATAAACTGTACTAACATATTTAATATAAATCTCAATTGTATATCGACTTTTAGTAGGTAAATAATAAATAAATATTTATGTGAGCCTAAAAAAATTGTATAGTCACTCCAAATTGCGTTTATGAATGCATTTAATATTAACAGATTAATTACCTACATTAATTTAGGTAATTTATTTAAATGATAATACAATAAATGTTTCATTTAAAGATATCAAGTAAATGTAGTTAAGATTCTCAAAATAAGCGAGCCGATTGGTAATATATTGGTAAAAAAATCAGTTTACTGGATATCAGAATAAAAGTATTTCAGACCCAACCATAGTAAAACCCCATATTTACTAAGTCTTTCCCATTTTAAAAAATACTGTAATTATTTGTTCTATAAAAACAATTAATTTGCAATTATCTAATATCAATATTATTCAATAATATAAAATTAAATACAATTTACTTACTTTCTTCTGGTGGAGGAGCTTGTATACCAGGTTCACACAAATTACAAGTTTCCATGCCATCATGAATATGACACAAAAATTTGGTGTCACCTACAGTTAGTTCACTGCCATGGACTAAATGGCGAGGTTCACTTGAAGATGAGTGCTTTGGAAGTTTTTTACCATCCAAAAATGTGCCATTTGTACTACCCTTGTCTTTAACAATATAATGACCTCTACCAACTTTGTTTACATTACCAATAAATGATATTTCTGCGTGTAACTAAAATAAAAATAAAAAATCTTTAATAACTATAAAAAATATTTTATTCTCAATAGCATTATTATTTATTTATAATGTGAAAAATAAATTATGATTATTAACCTTGCTAACATTATCGTCAGGTACTACTACATCTCTATTTGTCGAACGCCCTATTGTGCCACCAGGACATGTAATTAAAAATAGCTTACCAACCAATGAATTACATGCTTTGGATTCAGTTATTATAATACGAATACACGGAGGCCATCCAACAACTTCTATAATAATTCAAAACAGATATTTTAAATTAATACAAAGACTAAAAATATTTCCCAATATAAAAATACTATTCAATTTAGAACTAGGTAAAACTGTATTATTTACTTGATTTAATCAATTTAGTTTGTGTATCTGAAAGGTTAGCTTTAACTTCTTTGTATGATTTCCAATTGGAATTTTTGTCATCTCTCTTATTTTGACACAGGTATTGTTCAATTCGATCCCAAACTAGATTATCATACTGAATAATTTCTGATTCAATTGCAGTTACTTGATGCTTGATTGTGTACCAATTTCTTATTTGTGCATATTGTTTTGCTTTACTCTGCAAATTACGTAAGTTAATTGTTTTGCCAATTTTTCAAATGGCTTACCGGTAAGGTTTACCCCATCAGGTGTTAATTTGTGAACTATATTCTTAGGTGCTGGCAATAACTTTGTATATTGCAATAAATTCAAATAACGCTTGTCTAAAATCTGAAATTATAACAAGAAACACAACTTTTAAACAATTTCTAAATGTCTAACATAAAATATATAATTACTTCACAAGTAGAAGGTGGAGAAGGACAATCTTCAGGTTTGACTTCTTCCTTTTCATCTTTAATAGCCTCATTTTCCACACTTAATTCTTCTTTCACTTCTTGACATTCATTAGGTTTCTTTTCAATAGTTTGTTTGATAGTATCTTTAATTTCTTTTTCATTTGCTTCAGTATCTTCTTCGGTGTCTTCCTTAATAATTAAATTACCACTATCTTCAGAATTATCTGAATCACTAACCTCACTAATACTTTCAACTGTGTCTTGGGTATGTTTTTGTTTCTTTACATTGAGCTCATTTGAAGGTAATTGAGCTGTATCTGAATGCACCTGGGAATATAATCTATATTTTTGTGCTATTACATCAAAGTAATAATAACACCCTTGGTTTCCATCATAAAATAATCCATTATCCTGTAATTAATAACACTCATATAAGACTCAGATCTTGAAAAAACATTTTTTTAAATTTAATTTTAATGTTTTACAATTTATACAATTATTTGAATTACTAGGATTACTAATCCATCTGAATTAGATGCTCAATATGTACATGTATATCCAGCAATACATCTCACATCCATGAGTAAGTCACTGATATGTAATAAAAAAAATCTCGGTCTTGGGCACTTTCAATTTTCATATATAAATTTAAAATGCAAATAACTATTTATTAAATTTTTTCAAAGTTAAAGTTAAATAACTTAGTTATTTTTTTAACGAGATCCATTTTTTTTAAATGAACTTTTACTGAAAGAGTTAAATTATTTTCCATGATATACAATTACTAATCAGTTAATTCATTGTATGGTCATGTATGTTAAGTCAATTTTTTTTGTAATTTAAACCACCTATCACGCTATGTGAACTGTAACTGCTAAATTGTAGACTTTAAAATGCACTAATTACGGACTTCAATAGGAATCAAAATAATAGATATCAGTACTTCAACTTCATATAAAATGACAACTTATCTCTAAACAATAACACTACAAGTTTAAAACTTATATTGGTGGGGTTCTATCATTGGATAGCCTTTCTTCCCACTCTGTAATTTTTAATTAAATCTGTCTTACATGTTTTATTTTTATTGTATATTTATATGTTGTGTATTTATACTTATATACAATTTACTTGTTGTACTACACGGTAGATTCACTTGAGTTACATTTTTTTATTCAAATTTAACATTTTAACTTAATTCAGATTTTTAAATATAATTTTAACTAATTAATTATTTAAAAATTGTAATTACAAATTCACATTTTGATGTTGGATAAGGTTTAACCACATTAATCTTTAAGGTATATAAGGAACAAGTATATTATCAAGTGCAATGTGTTTGTCTAGGCCAGAGAATTGTTTCAAATAGAAAATGCATACTCATACATAGTAGCTATAATGCTATATGATCTTAAATAAAACTATTCTATGGTTGCATAATACTTGAACATATAATATTATAATATAACTAACGTTGGTGGTAAAATAAATTAAACTTACTAAATTATAATAATAACCAGTCACTTGATCATAATACATTCCAGTTGTTTCTTCTAATATAAACCGGCTTTCTCCCAAACTATACTGATTGACTTGTTTTGAATCTTTAGATTTTTCTTCGTCTTCACTACATTCTCCTTCTTCTTTAATAATTTCAGATTTTATTTTTCTTGGGTTATCAACTTCTAGATTTTCGGATTTTTCAACATTTTCCAACATTTCAATCTATAGTAGTAAGAATAATTAACTACTTTTCTACAATAGATATTAAATAATTAACAAATTAATGTATGGCAAGGATTTTTTTTACACATTAACCACCTAGTAAACAGCTACAGTATCTTTCTTTAAAAATATAATTTGAAGAAAAATTAGGATTATCAAAAATAATTATGGGGTTACATTTTAAATAATACAGGTATTTAAATAATAGGCATAATACTTATGAACACAAACCAGATTGGACGAATTTGGCCCACCGAGTTTTTTGTCCTTTACCAGCCCACTTACAAATTTTTTTTTAATGGTTCATTGCTATTTAAGGTACACTAATCTTTTCTAAACGATACCCTGTAAAAACACAACAAAGAGTTCCATACTACCGTGTTATTTTTATGAGTTAACAAAATTTTTTAAAGATAGTTAAAATTGAATAGCCCAAAATTTTGTTGCTGCCCACCGAGTTTTATGCAAATATTCTTTTAACTAGATAACATAAAATATATATTTTTTTTTTAAATGTAACCATAAAATCTCACAATACAAAACGTCAATATTTTGAATCAAAATAAATCTAGGGAATTTGTAGAACAATATTCATTTACATAAAAATCAAGGCCTTACTTATGAGATAAGATATAAAATTAGCCTGGAAAGTATAAACTGTTGAAAAACAATCATCAATTGGCCTCAAGTATAAAATATTCATAAAAAAGGGTTATGTTAAGTTCAGGTAAAAAAAAATGCTTTTTATGATGTCATAACAAGAAAAGAGTTCACCAAGTGAAGTCTACTAAGGTATGCCACAAAAATCAGAAGTGATAGTGTGGTGACTGTTACATCCTGTCAGTGATAAATTAAATGGTAGTATGAAGCAAAATTGTCAATCAATTAGTGCATATAAATGATTCACCAGATTAGAATTTCACTGAGACAAGTTATGGGAGTCAAAAGTACTTCTTATATTAGTTTGGCTGACATAGGGTAAAAATGTTTCCCTCGACATAAGCATTTATAAATAATACATCTCAAGTGTGAAGTGTTATTATAAATCACTAATATTTTCTTGCCATACATTAATATTAATATATTTCCTCCTCGACGTGTATAAACCCATATTATATTTATTTTATATAAGCTCTGTGAACTCAAATGTTTATGATAGAAACATTCGTTCTGTGTTTAATTCATTAACTTTCTTAAATGTTAACAGCAAATGAAAAATATGCTTACATTATCTGCAACACCATCAGCATTTTTATTTGGAAGATTTTTAACTTCTAGTTCGTCTTTTTTAATGGTTTTTGAACAATTGACTATTTCTGCCTTTTGGTCAAGTACTTCAGTTTTAATGTTTGATTTCTGTTTGGAAAAAATTACAGTTGAATAGTTATAATTAAGAATACTAAAGAGGTACTTCTATTTGGGATTGAGAAGTGTGTGACACACAACATTGATTCAGTATTTTACCTTGAAGTCGATTGAATTGCTATTCTTTATCTTAGCCAACAAATTCTGTTGCCGCTGTAGCATTCGCATGGCATTCTTTATATACTCGTACACTTCCGGATGTTTATGTTCAAGAAGATCCTTAAACGGAACTTCCACATCTTCCATCACGATTCGGGTGGTACCTATAATTGTGCCGGTATATGGGGGAGTAGATAATATTATAATGGACTCTCACGATTCACATATCAAACAGAAGCAATGGCAATCCCAGACAACATCGATGTGAATACTGAATGAATAGTGAAATGGTTTTACAAAACGTATTTTTAAAAAACGTGTAAGTATTTGATAAAACAAAAAAATGTATCGTTTTCACTGTTTACATTTTACAGTTTACTTTACAATATTATAATTAACGAACACGGGAGCGAATAAAAAATTGTTTCGAGCACAGACCAAACCAAGGAGGAAAAGTCCATTCTCTTTGATAATTTACATTTAACGTCCTTACGTACGTATTTTAATATACGAATTTATTATTCTGTGCCCTGTGGTGAGAAATCCGAAAACAGCTGACGTACAAACGTTTGGAACCCCTGTCTAAATTGTCCGATCCCGTTCAAAGGTATTTGATAAGAACATGATATTATATTTTCCAATTTCTATTATTTTGAATAATTATATTAAATAATTTGTCCTAGCGTTGTTCGATTATATTCGGAAATATGGTTGTAACTAACGACCACGAGTTGCCGACTTACGAAGAATTGACAGTGGAAGAAGTGCCCATCAGCTCGCCGGGCCTCCGTGCCGCTGCTCATCATATTGGTAATTTTTTTATTACTATTGAAACTATACTTAATATGTCTACCATATTATTATTAGGAGTGGATAATTGTATTTTGTGTGTTCACTGTATTTAGGAAAATATTGCTTGGAAGTAAATGATGAGTTTATGATGTGCAAGCAAGAAACTAAAGATCCACGTAAATGCTTGAACGAGGGCAAGGCAGTCACTAGCTGTGCACTTGAATTCTTTAGAAAGCTGAAAGGCAATTGTTTTGATGAATTTCAAATTTATAGTAACTGTATCGACAAATCTAGTAGTCGCATGGACTTTGAACCATGTCGTAAGACACAAGCGGTGTATGACAAGTGTGTGTTTGAAAAAATGGGCATAGAGCGACCAGAGCACGGATTCTTTTGTAAAGCTCGTGTCTACACTGGAAATCGTCCTAAACCTCCCGTTGAGGAACCACAAGTGTTTGGTGATTTGCCAGTTGGTCTTAAAGACTTTAAAGAAGAAGAACGGCCACCCGCAAAATATGGACAACGTAATTGGTTTATCAAGTAATTTACCTGTATGTTTATAATTTACAGTTTAATATTATTACTTATTAGTGTTTGTAAAAAAAAAAACAGTTATTATTATGAGATCAGAAATTGTATATTCATTTAATTTTCTCGCTGTAGACAATTGAAAGTATAAATATTTTATATAAAAAAAAAAAATAAAGTATTTATAACATGATTTAGCAATATATAAAATGGTATGAAATAACCTGTTCACAAATATTGGACAAAACATTTGAAGTTATATACAAGTTAAATACAAGTAAAAATAATTTTACACATGACAATGTTTACAATTATTTTCTATAATGGTGTATTTGAAATATCTAAAAAGTCACATGTTAATTCGACTGGTCTAACGGATCCAAAAAAGTCAGTGATTGGAACTTTTGCGAGGTCTCTGTGAAATAAGTCAATTCTTACTCCCACTGTTGAAATACAATCTTGTTTAGGACAAACACCCAGCTGGAAAATAAAATTAACAATAATTATTACTTATTACTATGTCATAAAAATGTCAAGTATTATTGAGAGTGGATATGATCAATTTAAAAAATATGTAGGTAGGTATTATCTATTTAAATTAATTTGTAAATAATAGTATAAATCATTTACTACAAATCTTAGAAGATTACCTACTATTATTTATCAGACTCACTAAACAATAAAAAAATGCCTTTCAGTTTATACACAAGTCATTTGGTACCAGCTTGAAATAATGATTTATAAGCAGTAGCACAACTAAAAACTGTTATAAATATGCTTTGTACAAAATAAAAACTTACAAAACTCTTCATGCTAATACGACTCTTCAGTTTAACATTCTCTAAAAATTTCAATGCATAAAATGTGTAACGATCAATTATGTATACTCCAATCGCTGGATCTACATGATGCTGAAATATAAAATATTTTATTTTTTAAAATTCTTTCCGTAAAAATAAAATATAATACAGATGCATATCATGCATAAATCTCTTACCGAAAGAGAGTCTTCACCCACTAAACTACTAGCCATTGCAAGGATGTTAGGTGAGTAAAATTTTTCATACATCGATGAAGCTTGACAAGTATCAATCATAAAGAATATTTCATGGTATCTGAGAATAAATAACACTTTTTATAAAGATATTGAATGACAATGGACACAGCCGATTTTTAATTACCTTCTTTTCTGCCACATTTGTTCAAGAGCATCGGCTAACTCTTGGCTAGTAACTTCTTCAGAATCTTGAAACTTTAAAAATCCATCACCGCCATGGCCAGTAAGGTATATTAAGATGTTGCTACCTTCATCAGTAAGCAACTGTTTTGAACGAGGTGTATCAGGAGGTAACCGACCCGTTAATAAACGTACAAAGTTTTCAACTGTTACCTAAATATTCAAAAGTTTGTAATAAAAACAAATTAATAAGAATAAAAGTGAAAAAAAAAATTTACCTCATAGCCTCTAAAATCGACTTCAACATCGTCTCCATAAACATTGAGCTGTTGATCAGCATTATTGAATACAGTGGCAGGACTGGGATTGCGAGGGTTACAGGCCATGTCATCAGCAACCATTAATATTATCTGACTAAACGCATATTATTAGAACCAAAATCAAATACAGTAGAACCTCGATTATCCGAACTAATTGGGACCGCACCTAGTTCGGATACGCAAAAGTTCGGATATTGGAAATTTAAAAAAAAAATTTAGAATTACGTATGTATTAACTATTTACTATTTTTATAATTAAATATTTATTATTGTTATTAATATTTTATTAGAATTACATACATAAATTACATTATCAAAAACATTATCATACATTATAAGAAATAGGTACATAACATTTATTTTATTTACATATGTATGTATTATATTTTTTAGATAAGCCTGTTGCGTTTTGGTTATCTACTAATGATTGACGCACGTAAAATACATAACCTGTACTAATAATAATCCAAAAAGGCAAAAACGATAGTTTTCCGATCCGACCGGCCGGATACGAATTTTCATGTTCGGATAACAGAACGTTCGGATACGCTAATTATAGTTCGGATAATAGAGGGTTCGTATAACGGAGGTTCGGATAATCGAGGTTCTACTGTAATATGAATTTGTCATGAACACATTTCATACCTGTCCGGTATACCAAGCCGTTTGACACTTCTGTAAATGGACAAAACGTTTGCTACATGCCTGTAATTGAACCAAAATCTTGATGTGTCGACCAGAACTGCCCAATTATTCGAATGATTACCCTATAAAAAAATTTGGGTGTGACACTTCATACGTGATCGTTGATCTATTTTTTTATTTAGCGTGCTTACCTGACATAAATGTATGTTCAAGAAATTCGCACAGAAGAGTAGCGATAACACAAAATATGATTTCATATTGACCATGCAATTTAAAAAACAACCGAATTACGAATAAACAATTTGTTTACTTCGGTGGTTTGTAAAATCCTTATTCCTTATTTTGCCATTTTGCATGTTAAAAGTTAATAATTTCTTTTGTTATCTACACCGGTTATCTGATAACAGTTGCTTGTTTACAAATTAATGATCGAAGGCAAAATTCATCGACCAATCATAAACATTTCTAAATCGATCGTCTTTAATCAGTAGTCTCCCGCGCATTCTTGAATATCGTCATATCATATTTCTTTTTTGTATTAGTTCATTTATTCATTGTTGTTTATTCGGTTGAGTTGTGTAGAAGAGTGCTACAAAAAAACATATCTTTTTTCAAACTCCATATAGTACATATAAAATAAGCATAATGTTATTTTTAAATTTATTTTTTGAATTTTCAGTTTACATTGTGGGATTAAACCACTGTCTGAAATGTATGTACAAAATGTTTACCCAGTCTGCATTTTAGCTATTGGTTTTGGTTTGTTTTGTTTGTGTCAAGGTGGTATATATATAAATATTTACAGGCGCGGACTGGTAAAAAGGGCGCGGGATGCTACATAATTTAAAGGGCAAATAAAACAAATTTTAAATAATAGGTTATTTATAAAATATTTAAACATTTTCTTTTGTTTTAATAAAATATTGTAAATACGTTAAAAATGTAAATAGGTGCCAAATTACAACAGCAATGCAAGGTTAAGCAACGGCAAACTTAAGGGTCAGTAAATTGTGATTAATTTTTGCCCCCCCTCCCCAACCACCGCCCCATAACAATTAGAGCTAAGTTCCTCTTATAAAGATTGTGTTAATAATAAATTAAGAAAGTATATTTAATGTATATAAAAAGCTGCTCAAACTAATTTACCTATTTTCTTATTGGCTACCTACTTTAAATGTATTCTTTTTTCTTTATGATTGTTATAGTTATTACTTATTAGTTATTACATAAATAATAGATCTACATCTACCTACGATTTTATCAAAGAATTTTAACCTTCTCCTTAAAAATTCAGATTAATTTTAGGTGGGCACATTTATACCGATAGGGGCAAATATATTTTAGGGCAAGGGATGCTGTAGCATCCCAGCATCCCAGCCAGTCCGCGCCTGTATATAAATATACCCGGGTATTCTTCCTAAGTTTACGATTTTGTGTTGAAAAAATCGCGTAGGAACTAAACTGCAATTATACCGAAAATTATTAAGAAACATGAAAATAATGAAAATAGAACGTTGAAAGGTCAACATTTTCAGAAAAATAAACTCTACAAAATGGATATCTTTAATTGTTTTAAAAATAAAAAATTAATTTTTTAACAATTTTTGCCAAAAAAAAATGTAATTAAATTAAAAAATAAAATAAATATAGTCCTTGTCTCGGTGAGCGTAATAAAAAAACATATTTATGATATCAGGAGATATCGCAATGGGTAAATCCTTGGGGGACACTTGGTACTTATATATTTATATATTTCCACTTTCGTTTATAACATGGTTACACAGATACCTAAGTAGATATTAGATGACTTAATATTATTTTCTATACCTTATAGTACCTTATTAGTTATTACCAACAGCATTGTTATTTATTATTTAATATGTATTACAGTTATAAGTGCCCGAAGCCTCGAAATGAAACGCTTCGAGACATTTTGCCATTTTTGTGAAGTTTAAAGAGCTATATTTTTTCAATATTTATTTAATTATTGTTTTGAGTAGGTATGTGTAATGTGTACCTATACTAGGTACCTACACTATTTATATTGGAAAAAATGCATTGACATTCAACTTTGGTAAAGCCGGACATCCAAGTTCGATTTCTGGAAGCAGATTAAAAAAATATATATATATATATATGTGGTACTTTTGAGAGGTAATGATTGATTTTGTTTTTTTTTTTTGTGTAAAAATGTTTACATTATGATTTTCTATACATGATAAAATTATCAATCAATATTTTGACTCATGTTGGACTATTTATAGACATATTTTGATGATTGCAATTTTTTTTATTTTGCTATACAATTTTTAAAAAGTCAAAAAGTTAAAAAATTTAATACAATGTTCCTCTGTCACTATTACTTGATTTAAGGGACCTGTACGTGATCCGTTTTTTGGCTCAAAACCTTTAAAGCCTTACAGGAATAACTCTCACTCCACGAAGGGGATCCGATTTCAAAATTTTTTTTTTGAAAGATTAAAACTTCTTACATAGCAATTTGATTTTCAAAATTCTATTTTTAAGCCATACAATAAAATTTTGAACATGACCAATTTTTACAAGCTTTTGTTTTTTCTTATTATTTTTGTTTAACCATTTTTAAAATATTGAGTGGGTCGTGACTCGTGGGTGTACTTATATTTTATAGTGTTTATAATTTAATATTTTAATATTATTTATTTATTATATATAGGTATTATGTAAAAACATACAAATCCGATCTCTAATTATCATTTATCACATTACGGACACTCTTGGGACATTACCATGATTATTATAGAAACACTATTATGAACGTAAATGTTCGATATACTTAATATGACACTCTCGGGCAGGCCTCTTTAACAAAATAGGCTTACACTTGTACCTACCTATAATAGTAATATAATTAGCCATTGATTAAATATACATATATTTACAGCGTATGTCATTGAATAGGCTGACGACGATCTTTGCTCAGAATCATTTTTTGTATGCAATTATTTATCACAAACACAAATTTAACAAATACATACTACAATGACTATTACTCCTCAACAACGAGATATACTCGAAACCTATATAACTATACATCAGAATGCGGTTGCCAACTTTACTTCTAATTAAATTTTATCACAAATCTAGCAATAAAAGTGTGAGTGTAAGATCAATAATCATTGTCACGATGCTCAATTATATATTTCTATATGTACATATTATACTAGCAATGGAAATGGGTAAAAATTAACTCACCTTCATAATATTATTAACTTTTTTTGATATTTTTATTCGACTATACTGTCTATTACAAAGTGCTTTCACGAATTAACTCAATTTTTTACAAATCTGAATGGAGTAAAAATCCAACTACCTACCTTTTAAAATATAGTAATATATTTTGACCAATACATATGTTTTCCCCGTGTACATTAGTATAAATTACATATACTTTATATACATAGTATAAATTCTATGGTTTTCTCAAGTTATTTCATTATATTATATAATCCTATACCCAATAAATATCAATGATATACGGGTGTTCTAGTAATGACAATAGCTGGGTCCATTGGCAGGCTGAGCTGGTATTCCTCTCCGCCTCATCCTGCAAACGTGTTCCTCGATCCTGTACTTGGCTTCAGTCTCGTTGAGCCGATGAGACCAGAGCACTTCGGCCACTGCGCAGGTTCTGGGCCACGAGGTTGGCAATAAGTTCGCTTCGTCGGCGAACTCGCCCCACATACAGGCCTCACCGCCCAAAAACAAACGGTTATTTCCGGCCACAGCGGTCGGGTCACACCTGTAGAAGTTCGGCCAGTCCGTTCCGTATTTGATGTAGTTCATGTACCAGCAACTGGAAAACAGCACCGGATGTCCGCTTTTCATTATCTGCAATGGAAAATCCGGAAATGCTTTTATACAATTATAGATTTTCTGTATATAGGTACTCTCGAAAATGTACAAATAAATAATATCATTATCGCAATCGATACTGTGTAAACTATTCCGAATATAATTCCTACCTATATAGTATTGTAGTAGTACATTGATGATATTATGATGCTTGGATCATAACATGGCGTACGCAGTTCATTATTAGTGGAAGGGAGACCGAGAAGCGGCCGCCTGAGGGCTCTGGGCTCTGAGTTTTCTAACGGGTTATAGATGACTAGATGAGTAATGGCCAATGGGTGATAATTTGTATTAAATATATTATATAGTACACATAAAGTACCTATATCTATTTTAGTACCTAATAACTACATAAGAAGTTACAAATATTACAGTGGTCAAAAAATGTCTTTATCGGGTTATTGCCTATTGGTGCTGAAGGGTGAGTGAAATATTAGAGTAGATTCTGAACAATTTCAAGTTCCCCTATTGCGGCTATGATAGCGGATTCATCGACATCATGCTTGTCTGCTGATTTCAAACGAAACACTATAGATATTAACAACTTATTTGTATCATTCATATTATCTATATATAAATACTTGCCTCCGACACGATCGAATAATTGTAACCGCCCTTCCACACATGTACCACGACATTGGAATCTAGATTGATTTTCTCGTCAAATATTTCTTCCCACACGATGGGCAAGGCTTTTAAATTTCGCGTCATGTTGAATATGTGTGTGAAGTAGTAGTTTTTTAATTCGGTGACGTTCTTTATGTTATTGCGATGCATAAACGTTTGTATCCTTTTGTTCGTGGTCCTGCAGTCGACGAAAATCAATTAATTATATTTAATATTTACATCAAATGCTTGCATAAGTATAATTCAGCTCGAATTTTTTTTTTCGGGAAATGGTTGAAACCGATTAGATTTAAGTCCACCTGTATTGTATACTGCGGGGCTTATGAGTACTTTCATAAAAATATTAAAAGTTACGAATTATTTTAATGTTTCATGTATTTAGTTAAATATTGTTTTTCAAAAAAATAATAACCGTGATTACAATGGTTAATTAGTGATTTTTATTTGATAATTGGTGCATGAACGTTTAAAATAATATTACCAATCATTAATATATAGATGGCGGTTATAGACATACAATAATTGTTTAAATATTTTGTTTCATATGTACAAACGGATGTGATAGGTATATAGGTTAACGCCGTGTCATAATATTTATATTTGCATTACCACATTATGTGTGTCTGATAAATCCAACGATTTATATTCCTATCACGCTGTTCCGTCGCACTACGATGCGTCCGATGTGGAAAATACTCGTACAATAAGCTATTTCGTCGGACTCACCGGATTTATGTTGGAAAGTTCGGAAAACTAATTGTAAAATGAATGTTAAATTTAATATGAAATATACTTTGTGTTTATTTTCATACCTATTAGGTACTAAAATATTTTAAATACTATATTTGTTCGACTAGCTCGGTAATTCTGGGTAATACGACAACATTTTAGTTGTTGAATTTTTAATGTGGCAATACGGATATTAGTGGTAGAAGCAACAGGCATATTTTTTCACATGTTCAAGGATGTGCAATTCTACAATTTCTTTAGCACAGGCTCTGTTGTATACATACAACATACTAACTATACACTGCATACTAAAGACTACATAAACAGAGAACCTTCATTAGATTATAAAATACAAATATTTGGTAATTAAATATATATTATATTAATTTGAATAATCCCTCCACCATTAAACAAGAGTCTGACTTAAATGAGGGATTAGGTACGACTATAGGTAATAGCTGAAACATATTGTTTAATACACAAAATCAATAAAATATTGTCATTACCAACACGTTGTATTTACTTCGTCACCACCGAGGTGTAAATAATTGTCTAGGAATAATTCATTGACTTCGGCCAATAGCGTATTGATAAAATTGTAATTTTCCTCGATCGTGGGGTCGATAGGCCCAAAATGATTTGGGTCGGAATCCGAACACTGAGCTAATAGTCCCGGAATGCCACCGAGTCGCCAAGATAATGAATGTCCTATTTATAAATATCAACTGTTATTAACACGCGAAACCGTCTGTTCTGTGTTCTTATAATATACAAATATTGAAAAGTTCAATGCATTAGATTTTCTGTCTATTACTTGCTCTGTTTGCCTGTTCTTACCCGGGGTGTCGATTTCTGGGATAACACGAATGCCTCGAAGTCTTGCGTATTCGATCACGTATTTGACGTCGTTTTTCGTATAAATAGCTGATTTTCCAAAAGCACCTCTTTCACTGTACTTAATAATATAATGTTAGTATAAAAATGAGGTCCAAAAAGCCAATAACTGTAGCACCGACTGTCGTCGACATATTTTTTAACGGGTTTTTTTTATTTTTAATATGTATATTAGATTATAGGTGCAGAGTACACCTCAAATTATTGATTTTGTACGTTAAAATTTCAAACCTCAGATTTGGAAAAGCGCTGCTCTGATACGGGAAGCTGTTGTCGTCTACCATGTGCCAGTGGAACACGTTCATTTTCGAATACGACATGGCGTCTAATGTTTTCGTAATTGATTCTATTGGATAATAATGGCGAGACGTATCTAATAGAAATCCTCGATGCCTGAATTTCGGGTAGTCTACTATTGACGTACACCGAATAACAAACTGTGTATGATTACATTTTACAATTTATAGATTCTCCACATTTGCTTGAGTAAAGAAAAAAATCAGTTTAACATATTACCGTCGAACCATCGGTTTCCAAATAAACCAACTGAGAAAAAGTTTCTAAACCTCTAAGAATACCCCAAATAGACGATGCAAATAAATGTCCACCGGCATTACTTATTTCGATTTCATCTGTACAAAAAATTATACATGATAAACGAATAATTTTGTTCTTGTTCTTATTAAAATTAGAGAGATGTTAAGAAAATATAAAAGTACTTTACATCTTTCATCCATATTTAACGAAGGATATTTTTCACAGGGATTTGTCATCTGAACATTCAGCATTTTCAACTTACCGATGATAAATTTCGTAGATAAACTAATATGTTGCTTAAAAGTTTTCGTAGCTTTTAAAAATAGCATAGAATTATACCTTTTAAATGCATCTTGGAGGTCGTCACAACTATAACCCGTAATCTGAAGACAAAAATGTTCTCACTGATGATGTCAAATTTAGTATTATTCAATAGTCAATACAGTGTACATATACACGCATTTATTAAAATGCGTGCAGGATAATGCATTATAATATTTAAAATATAATTTTGATTATAAAATATTGGTTAAAAACTTCAAAATATTATACATATTCAGTTATTTATGTGATTGGTCTTACATTAAAATGAAAATTTTCTGGTTCAAATGTTAAGTATTCATCGTAGCTGCGTTGAAGCACTGGTTTCGGCCACACTTCGCCATTGGTCATTTTTACAAGTGGCCCCACATTTTGGTTGAACGATTGTGGTACAGAGAATAAAAGAATAGAACAAATAACAAATGCATTCACAAATAAATTATTATTATGCATTGTTTAATTGCAAATCACAATATAAGTATACGTGACACTGTGTCCTGTGACAGCACTCGCAGTAGATTGAATATTAGAATTTACACTTTAGAGTTTTGGGTATAGTATGTATGTAATAGTTATAATACTTATTACTTATGGTAAGTTAATATAATAAATGCTCACTGACCACTAAAGCTATATTGAGTCAATGCTCCACTTTTAAACTTGACAACAATAAACTAATAATATTTATATTTTTGTTACTATTATTTATTATTATTAACAGCTACCAGTCGTCTGACTAGTGACTATTACTACCTATCACGATTTTAGATGTACTCATAGATTACATAAAATGCAATACAATAGTTAGTGATAAACTGTTGTAGCCCACATGTAGTTCTATGATAAAAGGCTTTAAAAATGATTAACAAAGCGACTTTAATATAAAAAAACAGCTGTAAGAATTAACTACAATATTATAGCAATAATACAAGGTGGATAAATATATATTTATATATCCACCTTGCGATAATACTACAGAAATAATTTTATACTATTATAGAGCCATAGATAATAATATAAGAATGTCTGTGAAATGGATAGGCTATACAACCTTATCACAAGAGAATTAATTGGACAATTATTTGAGATTACAATACACATATAATAATAATAATAATAATAATAATAATAATGTTTATTTAAATAAATAAATAATTAAATAAAACCGGTCTAGGCCCAGTGGCACATAGTAGTTAAAAATTTAAAATCGCACTACTATAATATAATATAGTAAAATAATAATATTACTCGTATACAAATAACTTATACGAATAAACAAAAACAACAATAGAATAATGGTACCACACTGCAGTTGAATAATAACAACTTATTAATCATGCTGGCTTAAAGCACAATATGAAAATAAAATCTGAGTTAAAGGCAAAAAAAAAACGTTCTAATACTAAAATATTTAAATATTACCAAGATAAATTAGAACCTATTTAAGTATCATAATTTGAATATATAGTTTTAAAGCCAGTCGGCTAGCGTTGTACCAGTACTTATAATTAATAATAACTTAAATACAGTCAACACTAATTAGTGATTTGACTATCGCAAAAAATTATAAAAACTGATTTAAAAATTCTAATGTATCAAAATATATAACAAAATGTTAATTAAGGAGTAATGAGAGTTGACGGTATGAGGAGTTATTGTGAGGTTTTCAGTATTTATTTATTTATTAGTCTTGACTTAAAATATGGTTTCGTGTATTAAAATTATATTGTCTTAGAATTCCCAAAATTATGTTTCCATTTCACTTCCTTCCACATTGGACTTAATTTATTTTTTTCCAAAATATTTACTATATTTTTTAAGTAATATACAACCAGTCTTGTAAAGTATACATTTATTATACGTATTTCGAATATTATTAGAATATATTTCCTCCCCCCCCCCCTCTAATATATTTTGTCAGTTTTGGAATGGTAGGAAATTAACGTGAGCCCATCATACTTCATTCAAAGAGAAAAACTATTGTTGATAACAATATAACTTATGTATAATGTGCCCAATTTTTAATTTAAAAAAATTGTTTTGTCTCAATGTATATAGACTATTTTTTTAGATAAAAAAAGTATTTTTGAATGAATAAAAAAATACAAAAAAAATTATTCAAAATACGTGTTTGAACAATTTTTTCAAAAAATATTTAAAATAGTATTCGTATAAAAAAAGGAAGTCGAAAGCATATACTTGCAAACTCTACAAAATATACATAACATAACAGAACAAACGACCCTTTGTGAAAATGAGAGACCGCCTTTCTGCTGTCTTATACGTGAAAAACCGTTACCCACTGAGTTGCATGCAAGATGCCACTAGCCACTGTGCCAAGGTGGATTAACATAGCCTACCCGTTCTTATATTATCTATCCATACGGCATTATGGCTGTACCTATCACTGTAGCTGAATGTCACAGAATAAAATATAATCTATATAATAAGTGTACTAGGTACCGTATGTGTAATAGACCTTATCATAGACCTTATTAGTTATTTTAGAGTAATAAAACTTGAGTAGGTAATATTATAGGTTTACTAAAGTACCTATATACTTTGAGTATAAGGTCTAGTGTTCATTATGAATCATGATACTGACGTTTGGACTGGTTTTTAGCTCTACAGATTTTTTTTGCTAGTCGTCAAATATTATTATGTTACAAAATCACTTTATCAGTGGCCGATGGGTATAATATTGGCATAAAACAATTGACCTTATACCACTAGAATCTAGTGACTAGATAATCGTATAACAACATAGAATGATGTACAGATGATGTGAGATGTTGTTACGCCGCTCGTGTGCTCGTTACTATTTTGCGCGCATCATTTGTGTCTCCGATCTCTATATTATACCCAACCTGCTCAGCTGCTCTAGGAATACGAATAACTTACGAAATAATATGTGTTTCTAATAATCAGGGATATGAATTTAATGCACTATAACTATAACTATAAACAGTTTTCTGGCATATACCTAGTATGTAGCCACTTATTAATACTCGACTTGGTCGCTGTTCACTAAAATTAAATAACAACTAGCTAAATAGGTACCCGACTAAAAATAGAAAAATTTCATCGAAACTATAAAAGTAATAATTTAAACAAAAATATTAATATAAATTATAAACGTTAAGATAAAAAGCGGTAATGTGAAGAAACGTGCAGTAAATGTAATGTGCATTTATTTGTTTAACCCGTTATATATGTAAAAATATGCAAAATTAGATTTCGAAATTTGAATTATAAATAACACAAAACAAAGTTTGAAATTCGGTCTTTACATTTGCTTAAATTCGAAATATATATAACTTAAATGTTATTATCGAGCTTGATTAGGTATCTCTTTTCTTCCTGAGTCCCAGCCCTTGGGGTTGCGACAAAACATAAGCTCGGAACGAAGTATAATAATTAATAAAAGGTAGGTCGGAAGTATGCACGATTATGTAACTTGACATCTAAAAATCACGTTTATTTTGTAGCTAGCTTATTAGTTATTAGCTACTTCATACAATGAATTATAATTTATAAATATTAAATATAGGATCAATAATTATTGTAGAACATACAACAGCTACAAGTCTACGACGAATAATATGTATAAAATTAATGAGTATAATTATTAATTATTGTAATTTACAATTTATTTTGTTGCACGTATAGACTGAAGCTACACGACACAAATTAATCGATTTTAAGTAGGTCGTAAATCGTTTAATTTCCTTTTCATGTATTCTTCAAGTTGTGAGTAATCGACTAATGTGTTTTGTATGAGTTCTTTGAGCACAATAGGCCATTCCTGTTCTAATAAAATCAGCTTTGCCATTGCTAGACACGTAGTGTTGATCAATGAATTGAAATGGACTAGTCCTTTGTGTCTCCAAATACATTCATCCTAAAAATATGTATTATTTTATTTTACACAGAAAATTTAGTTTTAAATATAAGTGTTATGTGTAATTAGTACAATGTTAAGTTAAAAGCAATATTAACTTGGAGTATAGTGGAGTACTAATGTACTATTAATTGATCGCAATAAGAATAGGACGTAGGTACTATATGATGATTATAGTATTACAAACAAACTAAAAAATTATTTGAGGAAAAATTGTAAATAATTATTTTTACAATGGAAACCAAGTCCCATTCAGAAACGTTTTTCAATTAATGTTATGATTTAAATTAAAAATAATAATCTACCAATAAACTGCATGCGATGTTGAACGATACAATGAGTGGGCTTTTTAAAGTATACACAATACACTATTTTACTCGTATATCACGATGCCCATTTCTGGCAGATCACTGATCAGATTCTTATAAACAACACATATGCAATAATTAATCAATACCTACAATGTTTAACTACCTGAGCATTTCCATTTTTACGCCACTGCAATGCTTCTTTGCAAACGACATTGCGTAAAGCTGGGTCCGATGACTTTAACCATTTACAAGCGCTTTCTTCGGTACTATAATCTAATTGTAATTTATTGAGCAACGGTGTCAACAGTGATTCCGGCAGTGAGTATAAAACCAAATTACTCAGCCCTTTGAAAGTATCCATTGATTTGGCTATTTGAGGTTCATCCACCTTCAAATAAAATACGTTTTATCAAAAATGTAATTACTAATAATTATTGTATTTTATATTTTGTCATTATATATATTATTATACCTCTTTGTCATTTACAAATTTTAATCCCCAGTGAGATAACCTATAAATTGCATAAGAATGCCATTCTTTTCGAGTAATAGGGTTTCCATCTTCGTGAATGTACAAAGAAACTAATCCTTGTAAATCAGCCAGAGCATTCAACTGACCGAGGCAGTAAATATTTGTGTCACGAAAAAAATAGTTTTCCGCATTGGGGAAACGATTTTTTATCTTAGAAAAAACTGGCACTAAAGAATTGAAACTAACATAATTGAATTTAATTGTTGAAACATCATTCGATTTTGATTGATTCCAAGGTTTGTCTATGTACCGTAAGCTGCCCTGCCCGTATACGTTTAAGAACTTTCCTGTTATTTCGACTAAATAATCACCACCTGTAAATCACAAGATCCAATTATAATATTATTATTCATAACCATGACCAAACTTTGATAATGCAATTAATATAATGTCACATTAAGTCATAATTATGTAGTTAAATAGGCAGTACTACATTTTTTAAGTTGAATCTTATCTTAAATGACATCGTTCTATTATCATATCAATATTATCAAATATATAATTAAATTAATTAATTAAGTTGTGCATATGGGTAGGGCAGTAGTTCTCAACCTTTTTTGATTCATGTCACCTTTAGGCACTAGAATCAAACATCGCGTCACCCTAACTGTGTAATGTAAAAAAAAAAAAAAAAAACCTAACATCAAAATAATAAATAATCTTAGCTGTATATATTAAAATTATTCTTTTATTAAAAAAAAAATACAGTACAGAAAAAAATTAAAGTTAAAAAAAAAATAATGATTTATATAAATTTAATGTGAAATTTGACCCTGGTGTTTTTTACAAAGTTGGGGAATCCTAAGTTTGATGGTGGAAAGAGCGAGTCTCATATCGTCTTCTATAGTTGTTTTTGTGAGTCTGTTGCGTTTTTTTGTTTTTATATTTGTTAGTGCACTAAAGCCATGCTCACATAACCAAGACGTAGAAAACTGAAGGAGCACATTAATAGCATTTTTCGATAATCGAGGGTATTCATTGTTAAGAGCCACCCAAAAGCTGTCTAGCGTATATAAAGATACGAACTTTGAGGTATGTTATGTACATGACAGTGGTGGTATAGGTGAATAATATATGTATTATAAGAAATAATATGATTGTTTTCGAAATTTTATTATTATTATTATAATTTTACTATTATCGAAAAATTTATTTTTTAAATTTTTTCTTTTCTTGTTAAAATTCTGCGTCACCCCTAAGCTAGGTCCACGTCACCCTAAGGTGACATGTCACCCCGGTTGAGTACTACTGGGGTAGGGTATCGCTCTACTATGGATTTAAATGTCACGTGGGTCACTGTAATGGATATGTTAAATTTGAATTCAATGACATTATCAATATTCCTTGTAGGTATACGAAGAACGATTCTGAGCGAAAGTGTGTGACAGCCTATATTAGGTACTAAGTATATTATTTTACTATTAAAATAATAAATTCTTACCGAAACATTGCATTTTAAAATGTCATTGTGTGTTTAAAAATTAATTATACAGGTACTTCAAAATTTTCAAGTATTCGTAAGTAATATTTTTAAATTATAACAAAATAACGAAATCATTATTTTTTGTTTAAATATCTAATTTTGTCCTAATTTGAACTTAAAATGTCCATAAAAATTAAAAAAATCTGTGTATTATATATTGTTTTAGACTTGTTGGTTGCGGTATGAACTACTTATGAGAAACTTTGTGTTAAATTTTCAATCCTTAGCTATATAAATTAAACATTGTATTAATTCGTTAACCACAAAATAGTGAAAATAATTCTCAAATGTTCATGGTTTAGATTAATTTTGTCAACATTTTAATTTTAAACGCATATAAAAAAAAATGTGCTCATGGATCTCTAATATCGTGTGTGCAGACTAACAATTTAAAAAAAACACTCATTATGGTAAAAACATTACATGGAGATTTTCGAAATGTATCGACACATCGGTTGAGAGTCACTGATCTAAAATATTATGTTGTAATTAGTTAAATGGAAATTTGAAATCCGTGGAATTTTTGTATTAATGTATTATCAGTTTAATTCAAGCAAATGTTAAAATACTTGGTATTTATTTGCAATATTTGTCACCAAATTATCTACATAATAATAATATAATCAATAATGTATAAAACACATGGTCAAACCTTGCTCTTTATTTTTATCTTTTAGATTTGAACCATTTCCTTTTGGTTTTGGTCTGGATGTTGATGGTCTAAAACTATTTTCTTGCTGATCACTTATTATGGGAGCTGACATTCTAGGATTAGCACTTTTTATTGGTCGAGTATTGATAGCTGGCTCTTTGGTGATTTTTTCTTCTGAAGATGATTCACAACTGCTACTGGTATCATCATCACTACTAGAAGCGTCCACATTCCCTAAGCTGGAAACACTCATTTTACTTTGTACGCTCTGATCAGACGGATACATTTCTAAACTACTGCTCTCGTTTTGTCTAAATTCAGATTTTCTTTTGGAAGTTGGACTTTGATTAAGATACTGGTTCAATATTGGTGGTAGTCTAGTTACAGGTTCTGTGTCGCTTTTGTCTGTGGTTGGACGACGACAAAGCTTCTTTTCGACAAATGTTCTATTCTTGTATAAAAAGTACATTTTCTTTTTCCGTTGTTCTGCAGTTGCTGTTTCATGATTATCTTCCAACGAATTTTTACATAAAGCAGAATCACTTTTAGTACCTATAAAATCATATTAATATTTATTTTTAATAAAATACAATATATAAAAAAATGTATTTTAAATGCAATTTACGTATATGGTACACCTGCACCTTTTAATTTATAGGTATACAACCCACTATCGAATAATATTTTTATTTTAACGAAACTAAGTAGGTACACGAGCTTACAAATATTTGTTCTACTATTTAAAGTTTATAAAATTATTAATTATTTAAAATGTAAATACCGTTGTTTAAAATATCTTAACTTCTAAAACAGCAAATATGTTTTAACAAGTATATTATGATTTATAATATTATGTCAGTATTAAAGTTGAAGATAAGTTTAAAAAAAAATGTAAAATACAAAGTACGACATGGTACGCGTATGATTAATTTTAATAGTTCAGTAACTAGGTTGTATTATAACAAAAACTATTACTTAAAAAAATGATATATATATACAAATTAATTCAACAGAAGTTCATATTATTAAATAAATAATAATTGGTATTCAGTGAAGTGCCCAAATTTTCAATTGTGGGGGGGGGGGATTAGGATGGGATTACGAAAGACGAAAAAATGGATTTATCAAACAAAAGGAGGAGGATGGGATATAACTCCTAACCACCCCCTCCCTGGAAACTCCAACTGGTATTAAAATGTATCTGTTTAAATATGGTGTTGGTGTTGCTTAACAATAAACTTTTAAATTATAGTATTATATTATAATTGGTAAATTATTTAAAAGTTACTTATTAATTTATTATTGACAAATCCACAGACTTCAGTGTATAATATATATGATTTTAGATTGATTTTATATTGTAATTACTTCGATTGCATAAAAATAAATAACCCACGCGCCCAATGACTTTTATAGCCGTGATATATATATAATTATAATAAACATATTTAGATGGTTATTAATTATTATTGATATTAATTTTGTAATCTATACTAAATTATAGAACAACGACCAAGAATATAAGTAAATACATTCTTTTAAAATACCTAGGTATAATATTATGTTATGTAGGTATCTATAAGCTACTCACCGTCTTCTGTTTCCGTTGAGCTTCTTAGGTCCTTCAGCGAAGTTGCTAAATTGGGATACACACAGTGCTGAGAACGCATTTGTTCCCAATTAGATTTAGCATTGTATATTATATTATCGCGACCTTTTTTCCCTGGCTCTTGCATAGAATTTGCTGCTACACATTTAAGGCTTTCTCGAGTTTCTTTCCAGATCACAGCTGTGCGTCTCATCTGATCGGTCACCTGAGTACGATTCAGTGCTTGAAGCTGAGATAGATGTGACACCAAGAATGATACACATTCGTCTACAGCCGATACAGGATTGTTATCAATAGCTAATTCTTGGAGCTTATTTAAATGCACCAAACTCGGCATATCGTCAATACTATAATAGTTGTATAAATGAAATTGAAACATTAGATTAGGTTTCTATAATATCGAATAAATTAAATATTCAAACTTACGTGTTAATTTCATTGTTGCTTAGAAAAAGTTTCGTTAATTGTGGAGTCTCTGAAAATCCTAAAAGACATTTTAAACGATTTCTTCGGAGATTAAGTTCTCGTAACGATCTCAGACCAGCAAGGTCCAACGAACCCAATAGTTTGATTTGATTACCAGCCAAATTTAAAACTTTTAACTCGCCTTGACTTTGCAGTCCACCTACCTGAGTTAATTGGTTGCCGTGCAAATCTAGAACTTCTAATCGATGTAACGTTTTCAAACCCTCAATGCGTTTAATTCTACATAATATAATAAAAGAAAGATGCAATGAATAAAAAAATATATTTTGTAACACATGTTAGTAAAATAATAACAAAAATAAATAAATTAATACTTACCGATTTTTTCCTAACAAAAGAACACGTAGATTGTTCAAGCTTTCGAGACCTGTAATTCTCTCCAGTTGGTTACCATAAACGTCCAAGAAAACAAGTCTAGACAAACCTGCTGCAGAAATACCATCTAATTTTGTAAGTAAATTGTGTTGCATTGATAACAGTCGAAGTCGAGCTTCACCGGTAATTACAGGCACGCTCATCAAACCTCGTCTTGTGTAAGAAATGCATATTGTGTAATATCAATACGTATTATTGAAATAAAAATAATTAAATACCTATCTAAACTCATTCGTTCTGGATTACGACTCTTGACACATTGAGACCTAGTAGCTTGAATTTTCCCATCTGTCAATGTTTGTAATGACACCAAATTTGTGTTGCTCATGTTTTCATTTAAATTGTTATTATTGCTTTAAAAATAACAAATTAATTACTATAACCACTTATTCACTGTGTGCAGAATTGTAAGAAATGACAAATTTTAATACAAAAATATTAATATATATTACTTCACTATAGACGATCGTTTCTGATGAAGTCGAGGCTGCAAAGCTGCGGGTAGTAATGGAATGTTTGTGCATGTTTGTCTACGCTGTGGGTTTAAACTGCCATCGGTGGGTTCGGTATTGTTTATTCCAAATATGGCAAAATCGGGGTTCTCGTGCTTTGAACATTGAACAAGAACAATATAAACACTAATTTAAGTATCCGAAACTAAATATTATATGAGTTAGGAGTATAATATTATGTATATTGTATATACTTGTTTATTTAATGTATTTATTTTATTATTTATTATGTAAATTGAATAACATAATAATAATAATAATATTATTATTATTATATACTATATAATATGCAGGTATAATATATTATGTATATTAATACAATCGTACTTACGTTCAAAATTCCGTTGTTCGACGACATAAAATCAGCCATTTGTGTATTTGTCGCCATAGCAAAGTACCTATAGCGTGTGTGTAGTCATTTCGATTTGTATAAAAGGGTTCTAGCACGGCACCATGTCATGATTGTTGTGCCAGGCCCCTTCTACTTATAATAAAACTTGGTCGATTTTTATTTACGTTCAACAAAGGTCGGCGACATCCCTACCATGCCAAAAATTACCTGATTTATTAAATTTAAAAAAAACATAAATATACATTATATACGTACATCATAGATATAACTTCCTAATTTACGAGGTTTTGATTAAATTTATATTTATTGGTATTATACCACTGCGTTTAATGATGTTATATCAAATACATTTTCAATACAATCTTTACCTTAGTAGACTTCTTAATCCTTACTACATACACGGACCATGGACGTTTGAATACTAATTTTTATAATTTTACCTAAATTATACTAAATAACAATAAATTAATTCTCCCTTCTCTTACCAAAATCAATGTTCTAGACTTCTAGTCCTACATTCCAGAAACTTGAAATGGATTGCAAAATCACCCTTTGCTTATTTTACCTCCCAAGTCCCAAGTAAAACAAAATATAAACAAAGTTTTACCAAAATAGATACTATAGTTATATAGCCATGTACATGACTTATTGATTTGTAAACTAGGAGTTTATATAATACCATAGATCATCAGTGATCAGAAAGTAAATAACGAAACACTAAATATTTAAATTAAAAACTCGATTTTGATTATTTTCTATAAATTACGTATAGAACATCAATACTTTTATGAATTAAAATAATTATTTACTTAGTTCAATGTAACATAACATAATACCATATAACTATCGAAGAATAATATGGATTGATTACCTACGTATTTTTTATTGAGTATTTTATATGAATACATAATAATAATATTTATTTATTATCTACCCCAAAAAGGTATAATGTTAATAATTAATAAACATTTAAATATTAATCGAAAATCAGAATACATATTGGTGATGCAAAATGGAATATTATACCCATAATATCATATTATCATAACAAAAAACTCTCCACATTGGTCAGTGTAAGAACTAAAAAAGCTTTAAAAAATATGATTCTTATGTAATCTCTAACATTTTTTATAAATAAACCTTTTAATAATGTGTATTATTTTATCTTTAAATAGTGTTTTCGTGCATTGTATTGCGCTTAGTGATAACAGAAAATATATTAAGTAGTCAATAATTACTTAATTACTTATGGTTTGTGATTAAAAGTAAATTATTTCACTATTAGACATTAGTAATATAATAGGTTGAATAAATTGGTATAATTGGTAAAATTAAATGCTGTTCATTGGTAATGGCATCACTTTAGAATAGATGGTTTGATTCAATTCATTTTTTTTTATTATTATTGTTTGTTTGTAATAGTCCTACTAAGGTTTTAACAGAAACAAAAAGTGAAAAAGTTGCCTAAAAAATTAGAAAATTTGGGAAAACTGAAAATCAAAAATATATGTGTTTATAAGTGGTTGGCCATAGGTTATAATTCGGCAGATAAGCCATGTCGTGTATCAAATCTTCACGTTTATTATCTCCAATAATAAAGTTACTTATTTTTTTAATGTGATTTTATTTTATTACCTAACGAGATTTGAATGTATGTTGTAGGCTTGTAGCTTAATTTACTCAAAAACTTCTTGCCTGATATTTTTGAAAATTTCAAATTGTTCTTAGATTTACTAGAACATTTTAGAGAGTAGTTTGAAGTGTTTGAACCATATTCTATTTAAACATAGTGCTATATCCACTCCGCCATATTATGCAATTGTCAATATTGGTCGAATTAGTTCACTATTACAGAGCGAGGTTCATCGATACCGATTTTCTTGTGATGTACCTACACTAAAACTAAGATACACCATATACCTACATAGAGCTATATTTTATATTTTTTTATTATTTCAAGGGCGAAGTCGGGTTAAATAGGTATATAAATGAATGTTGGTTTATCCGGTGTTGGTTACATACTTTAAATTATTGCTAATTATTAACAACCTAACCTAGGTATTTTAACTAGTAGAAATGTGGCAAATTTATTTATAAAAAAAAAACTTATCTTTGCACGAACAACAGCTAGTTTTAAAATAATAATTGAATTAAATTAGGAAACAAATAAATTTGAGTTGGCACTTGGCGGTCTCTATTAAATGACCTAAGCATAGATATTGAAAATAAGTGATTACTGAATAACCTAATCTTACCTATCTGTATTATACTATTATCTATGTATGGACCTAAGATAGTAAGATCTATATTCTATGATGATAACTACAGAAAAAGCACGGACTAAGATATTATGTGGTCCGTGAGAAGAAATATTAACCACAGCTGTAGATAGGATGGTTGCACATCGGGACGTTAAAACACTTAAAACTTAAAATGTGTAAGACAAATGTTCTTATGTTTCATTATTGAAAAACCTATAATTGGTCACAGCGCTATCTAGTATCTACAATAGTTAGTTCTATCTTTAGCCGTGATATTAACACAGAATATTCTGTGGTATTAACCTTCATGGCCGGAACCGTGACCACTTATGTGATAAACTGATAATGGAACTGTGATTAAGAAACCGCTTCGAGCCGTGAGACGTCTGCCGTATAATATATTTATTATTTTCTAATTTCTATATTATATTGGTGTATTAAATAATAAATATTGGACGAGTTTATACGTTACAATGTTTAAGCTTATTAAATTAAATTATGTTCGTAGTTGTGTTCAAATACCAAATAATTCATATGCATCACCTAGTGGTAAGTTATATTAAACATAATATAATCTGTATTATTCAGTATACTCCTTGTCTCCGTACCAAAAAAGAATATCCACTTTCTGTGCATCAGAGGGTTGATACTTCCAAATAACAATCATTGGCAAAACGAACATGGTCTTTAAGAAGCAGTTGCTTCTCGATTTTATTTAATATTTAAGGGTGGATGGGTTGGTGCTCAATATAAAAGTGAAAAACAATTACTAAATAATAATTATAGTAGACAAATACTACTTAATAGTAATGCTAATAGTACTTGTGTTTGTTATACATTTGGTAGGAGGGTGGTGGGTCAATTTTAGGTTGCTTATGGGTTATTTTAGTTCATTTCGCCATTGGTTATGTTAAGCACTAATGTTATTACTTATTAGTTATTAGGTACATATTTACATTATATTAACATTTAATATTACTCATATTATTTTCAGGAATTATTTCATTGGGAAAGTCTAAAAAAAAACTGGGCAAAGGAGGTCCAGTTTTAGAAAAATCAGAAATTCCTGTTGAAACAGATGCCAAAAAATTAGTCAATTTTGTGTGCGGGAGCAATATATTAAAAGAAGGGCAAGATATAGAACTAAAACCTGACTCGGAATACCCAGATTGGCTTTGGAATTTGAATATAGGTAATATAATTATTTATTATTCATTAATAATAGTAATGGATAATTTAAATCCTAATTGTAAATTACTTAGTTTGATTATTTGCTGTCAACTATGTGAAAAAGCTGTAAATGATTGAGATATCATTTTACTAAGTTGTAAAGTAATTATTATTCTATCACAAGTATTTTATAATTTCACTTTAAAAAAAATTTTATCTTAATAAAAACCAAAAATGATTATAAATCAATCTAAATTTTAATTTATTAAATTTATTAATCATTTGAGGTTAGGTTATGTAGGTTGCATGTATGGAATGTATACTATGTTTGGAGTTGTCAATGATTTTCAGAAACTTTTCATCCTTTATATTTCAAGAATAGTTTCTTGGCATTGCAAATATGTCTATAATAATTTAACTTTATGTTTAAAGAATACTCACATAATATACTGCACTCGATTCACCAAGTGAATATGACTATTTTCAACTTAGCGCATATGACTAAAATTCTGCTCAAGGCCCAAGTTGCCATCTTGTTGGTCAAATCTCTATAGTAAATTAGTAAAAAATTAATGTTTTTTTATTTCTGAGCATTCTCTCCTGGTGATCATGGTAAATACTAAATACATGGACAAATTAGGTTAAATAAATGGTGCCTGTAGTCTGTACAAAATAAATGTTATAACGATTGTTGAAAATAACCACGATAAGTATGGTCCAAATGAACTTTGGCTTTAATTAGTATAACTATAAAAATTATTCCATTTTACCTTAGCAACATAATTAAAAATAATGCTTATTATTCAATTTAATTTTAGATGGACCAGTGCCGTTAAAAGATTTGGATCCTAATTCAAAACAATATTGGCTCAGAGTACGAAAATTATCAATGAGAAGAAATAATTTGTTAAATAAATTAAAAAGGTTTTAGGCATATAAAATATAATAGAAATAGGTATTATATATAAATAGTGATTAAATTTACCATTGTTTATTTTTAAATTCAAAATCAATATTTTATTGTTGAATAAAAAAAAGTTGAATTTTGATTTGTGATTATCAACATATAAATGTCTATTGTCCTTAAATAATATTAGTATGACATAAATTGGCATTAATTTCTTATATATTTTTAAATATTTAAAACTTCATAAATATATACCTAATATATATATTAATTATACAAATTACTGACTATTAAAAATATTTGTGAATTTACTTTTATTTATAAGTAAATTATGGCTTATATAAATTATTGGGTGTACATGTTCGGTAATATTTTGGTTCTAAAATTTGGGTTAATTTCTCCAAATTAATTTGAACAAAATAAATAAGAAAACTATTAGGCCTTAGCGATAGAAATCTTGGTCAAATAAAAAATTGTTAATCACTAGCATTATTATTAAAAATAATTACTATAAATAATAATACTAACTTGTGAATCAATAAAATAAAATGTTCTAATCTTATAATATACATGCTCAAAATAAAAATAGGTATAATTTTGTATAATTCATAACTATGTTCAAATTCAATTGATACTAATTTATCACTTAAAAGTATAATTTGATGAATATGGTGTGACTTATGTGAAGATTTCAATCAAGAACATAGAGCTTGGACGCCAAACAATGCCGAAAAAAACCCCCTAAAATTGTTGTATCTGGTAGGATGGACTTTAACCAGTATTGATGTTGTTTTTATATTATGTATTGCATAATTTATTTATTGGTATTTATTATTATAGTCTAAATTGTAATTATAATTATTATAAAACATTTTTATGATCAAAATTTCCTTGAAATAAGTACTGCCCATTTAAAAACAACATCACTACTCAGTACTGTTTAAAGCAAATGCAATTCATTTCCGCTGCAGCTGGCTGAGTCCTGGGTCTTTTCTCTTATAGTCTAATGATCATAATTAAATATTCCAATATCATGCAAAAATAATAATTTTATAAATTAAATTACAATTTTACAATCAATGGTATTACACTTTTTTTGCCTACTGCGTGGCAGACAAGACCAAGCTATTACCTATGTATAACATTCAAATATTTAACCGCAAAGAAAAAGGTATTATTTAATAATATCCGTGATATCCCTTAGATCATACTTCATAGTATAATATTATGATCTAAGATTTATCCATACTCTTGATTGGTCGATTTTGGAAAATTGCATTAATACTGTAATAGATAATAATAATACTCACACCAACACCAACAGATAGCGCTTTAAATTCCATTTATTATTATGGTTTTTTTTATAATACCTAATTATAAAATCCATTATTTCTTCCTAGGAAAGTAAACCACAATAAAACATAACATTTTTCAAATATTTTGTTTTCAGAGATTTTTTTTAATTACCTACGTCTGTTGAGTACTTGAGTCTATGATGACATCATAGTGCGTGTACTTAGTTTATATTATTAGTTTATTACTTATAAACGTCTCAAACAATACCTAATAAATTAACAACTTAAGTTTACATAGGTAACTAATAATTATTTTCGATCAATAATAATATAATATTATCGAAATTGATAATAATTTGTTTTACAATTAGATAGTACGTACCTAAATAATATTATTATAATTTCGATTATCCCTTAAATTCGGTTAATGTAAATATAATAAATATAGTAAAGTTTTGACTTATAAAGTTATACTTTGCATTGACTTAATAATTTTAGACATTTTTATTGAACCATATTAAGATAATATAATATTTTTAAGGTGTATTATACATGTATGGGTACTCCAATTGACAATTATACTCAATAAGATAGTTGTAATAAACGATTGTAACACACTCTCATGTGGATCGAGCTTCACACATATATTTAGCTAGGTACGCCGCTGCATACAATTGTAATTGTTAAATTGTTTATGATTTATCATTTATGTCTTTAGGAATAATAGTTATAAATATAAGAATTAAATAGGTAGGTTCTACATCGGTTTGTAGATCGTATTGTGTATGTTTTGTTCTTAGTCAACCTAAAAATGGGTACATAAAATAATATGTTAATAATATCCAATTTGAATGGTAGGTACTAAAATAATACTGAATTATTGGTAGATGATTGATATTTATAAAGATACCTATAGTATATTCAAATACCCACCTGTTGTCTATAAAATACAATTATTAGACTAATTAAAAACCCAGATATCGATGAATTTTGCAATTTATTTGGAACATAATTGACGATACTTTCCTAACTTAAAATGGGTTTCAATAACGTATAAATCTTTTATGTATAACTAATTTTTATTTTGCATTTTAAATTACGAATTGTTCATTTGTCATTAAGATATTCAATTTTTATATTTTCCCCAAATTGAAGAAAAACCCACAACTTTATTGGGTACGCCAACTTAGCATAATATATAATATGTTTATAATTTTGAATTTAAAATAAATGAATAATTGTATTAACTAACAGTTGTATAAGAATTTAGGTCATTAACATTTAACATTTTTAGGGATTTTTGGGTCTTTTACATCATGGGTAAATGCATTTTTTACTGGATTTTTATAGGTTTTTAGGGCATCAACATCCGGGCCCTGGTAATAATCTTATACATGGTATTAACTCAGCTGGTACAATGGTGCCTACCTATTATTTATGAACTGTATTATCTTGTAGGATGTTGCATTATAATTTATATTAATATTTAATAATTCACTCAATTCTATAACAAAAATATTTTTAAATTCCATATGCATCAATTAGTATAAAAGTACTCGAGTAAGTAGTCAACTTTTATTATTATTATGACTTATGTTGTTGGATCTTATATTCGATCTTCCTGGAATCCTATCATAAGTATCGCAACATCAAGTTTATAAAATAAATAAAGTATTATATGGTTACATTCAAGTTCTGTCTATTGAATGTAAAAGTGGCATTGAATGTACCTTGACCTAGGAAGAAAATATATTTTTCATTATAATCCAATTAAAAAAGGCATGAACAAAAAACGAGTTTTCGAGCCATATAAAAAAATGTTCTTCTTTATACCTCCCATACATATATTTTAATATAAAAAAACTGTATAAAAAATTAGCAATTGTGCTTCATAATATAATACCTATATAACTATATTTTTATACTTAATAAAATCATATAATTTATAGCTATTACCTACTTATTATTCATTAATATTGTCATCCTCAGATCGTCTCTGGTCTCATATTAATATAAAACAAGCTGATTATAAGTTATAACTACGTACCAACCATAAGCATATATATAGGTATATGCATCGATTTAATTGATTGTGACTTATTCATTTAGAGAGTAGGTAAGTTAATAATTAAACTATTAATAAGTAAAAGCACAAATACAACTTTTCATTTTCAGCTTCAATTTATTATTTATGAACATTTTATAACATACAATCTATTACCTTTACCTACTTGACTGGTGGAGAATTTCGCAGTCAATTACTGCAGGCGGTGTTTATAAAATATTGTGTCGGAAGTTCTTTGATACGCTTGAATACCTTTACTTACCTACTTAAATATTATTATAGTTTCGATAACCAAAACTCTATTTCAGAACACATTCAGCATGGATTAAATTTAGTGTCTATATAGATATTAAATGCCTGAGTACCTACGTGGTTGTGCACTCTACAGACTATATCAGCTAGGTTCATGATTCAATAATTGTTATGTTAGACCTTAAATATAACATTTATATTTAAGTACCTTATACACAAATGCACCTTGTAAGTATACGAGTCTAAAGAGCGAATTTTTAGATATATCTATTGACTTTATGCAGCTCAGGGGGCAAAAATTCTGGACGAGTTGTCCAGTACAGAATTCGTAGAAAATAATTTATTTTGCATATAAAAGCATATTTTGAAGATTAATTTAATACTCAGCCTATACAACATACTTAAGAATAAATTGTATTATTTGTTCATTTCAAGAGTTGATAATATTTCGTCACGCACAAGTAAAAAAAAAAAAAATGTTTTTTAATTTAAAATGGCAAAAATACTTGTTCAAAAATTATTATTATTGTTTGTAATTAAATTAAAAATTGTTTTATTTGTTTGGTTGTTTAAAGTGTGACTGAATTTAAACAATTCACCGTAGTAAATGTAAGTAATCATTATTTTCAAGTTTATGTATATTATTACATGGTTATTGGCTATATGCAATTGTAGGAGGGTAAATGAATATATTAAAAATGTATAAAGTTTAGTGTTAATACATAATATACTATATATTTTACATTATACGTTTCTATCGTACCTAACTGCAGTCTGAAAGTATATATTTTATGTATATATTAAATTATCTGAAGTAAAAAAAAAGCATATTTTACATTTTTACATTTTTACCAGTTTAAGGTCTATTAAGAAAATATTTTTATTTTTAATGTTTTTTTTAGTGTATGATATTAAAATCATATTTTAAACTTTTAAAAACTTAATAATTAGCTCTTTGTATATAATAACTAAGGCTCGGATTTTGTAGCAAAATAAATCCTTGAAAAAGCATTTTAAGTAGCCAAAAAAAGCAAAAAAAAGCATTTATTAAATTTAATTCTAAAAAAACAAATTTAAATGACACATAAAATTAAATAGGTATTTTAAAAAGGAATATACGACCATGCGAAGTTACTTTCATTAAAATTCATCATTTTGGGTGCGTATATATTTTTATATATAGAAAAAGACCTTTCCACTTCAACCTATGTAATCGATGCATATTTCATATAAACTAAATCATTTAAATCATTGTGTTCCGCATTTATGTTTAGTGCAGTTTCGTTATGAATACTATTAATTTTTCGAAGTTCTACCCATGCATTATTCTTTGTAAAAACACGATCTTGAACTTTTCTAAAATAATTTCGCTACTTCAACATTAGCTTTCCTTAAGTCGTATATACAACTGTAATCAAGGTCATTAAAGTGTAGATAACACTATACAATTTCGGCACAATAACCTGTGATAATATTGTCCTAATGTAATAAGCATCGAAATAAGTTAAATTTTCAAGAAAAATATGTCAAAATTAAGAAAAGAGAACCAAATAGGGGAAGAACTAAGAAGCAATAAAAAAACTGGTTTT